GACAGATCTTGTTAACTGAGGTCATGGTGAGTGGAGAAAACATAAATGTCATGTGAGAATGTGTGTGTGCGTGTGAGAGAGAGATAGAGAGAGAGACCTTGTTAACTGAGGTTATGGTGAGTGGAGAAAACCTAAATGTCATGTGAGAACTCCCGTCACCTGTTGGGGTGGTTTACCTCACGGCTGTTGCTGTGTGGGCAGGAAAATGGGGACCAAGTCCTCGGTGGGCCTGTGTCCCGGCTGCTGTCCTGTTGGCCCCACGACGGCCGGGCCCTGCTCTGGCTGGGCCCTGCTCTGCCGCTATTTGCTGGAACTGAAGCAGGGGCGTGAGGAGCCGGTCAGGTTAATGAGTGTGAAAGTGACTTTGCATACGAGTAGGAAATTCCGATTTTCCTGATTTTCCATTGAACCGTAGTCTCAAAGCTTTAATAAGGCGCCAGCGATATGCAACTAAGCTGCTTCTGTTTGACCCATACAATTGGGTGCTTTTTAATACTCATTAAAAACCATCGTCCCTGTCACACAGAGTCGCCCCTTTAATTCTTGCGGTTTATGTGATGTCACTTTCTCTGCTCCTGCCCACCATTTTATCTCATTCTTGGCTCCCGCTGCCCTGGGGGCTTCAGTTGATTTACTTTCCACTACAAGAGAAGAATTTGCGTTTCCTGATGTTTCTTTTTACAAAACTGTTGCTTTTTTCCCTGACTCATCTTGAGGTTTGTCAGTGGTGCTTTACATGAAGAGTTCATTTTATGTTGCTGAGAAACGCAGTGTTCTGAGATGCCACTGTTGGTTCATTTAGCCATCTGCATATTCAGTTGTTTCAGAATTTGACCTTTGTAAATAAAATTGCTACAGATGTTTATCTGTTTCATTTCTCTGTGTTGATTTCTTGGAGTACCATGCCTGACTCAGCAGTGGGAGACTCCAGCCCTTTCATAGTTGTGTGGCCACTGGTTTTACTTGTATTTTCATGATGTTGAACATTTTTTTCATTTATTTGCTACTTGGCATAACCTTTTTTGGTATAGTGACATATTTTATGCATTTCAAGAAAATGAATTGTTTCCCTTTTTTCTTTTAAAGATTTATGTATTTATGCATACAAGAACTGGGGTACTGGAAAGAGTTACCAGAGGTGAAAGGATTCACCAGAGACAGGGGGGAGCAGAACAGACAGATGGACAAGTACACTGCTGAGGGGAGCTGGGAGACAGGAGAGGTCTGCCTCGCCCCCCCCCTTTTTTTTCCTAACAAAAATGCTGCTGCTTTCTGTCCTGAAACCGCAGGAAAGCCTCTCCTGCTTTGTTTCCTCATCAGTCCCCTACCTCACACTACTCAAATATACTGAGCTTCCGCCTTCAGTTCCTTGAACACATCTGTGCCTCCTCAACTAGGGATGTACCCAGGTCTTTTTATCCAGGGCAATTATTTTTGCTCCTGGTATTCTTTGCACATCAAAATATTATTGCAGTATAAAGTTTAAATCAGAAATGGTACTCTTCCCTAAATGACAACCCGTGTTTTCTCTTATGAAATCCTATGAATAGCTCTAGTGATGAACACAAGAAAACCTTTTTGAACACAAGAAAACCTTTTTGAATAGTTAAGAATAAAGCTTGTAAGTTACCCATAAGCAGCCAACCTGAAACAGGTTCTGTTACTTGATGTTAAGTGCTCTGTGCCGCTGCAGGCCCATGGTGGGGCTCCCTGGCCGCCAGGCCCCTGCACTACCCTCCGTTAAAGACATTAGGAGACAATACATGTTTCTGGAATACTGGTAAACAGTATTTCCTGTGGTCTCCCACCATCCCCACTACGCCCCCACCCCCAAGCCCTACCCACTGTGTTTAGGCCACTGTCTTCATGAAATCATGTCCAGGGGTTTTCTGCACCCAGCAGGAAGGAGCAGCAGCAGTTTGGAATGTCACTCTGAACTTCACCCACTGGCAGCGCTGCGGCAGAGCTGAAGCTGAAGGTCACTGTAATGTGGATAGCTGAGGAAGAACCCTTCTGTGAACAATAACACGAGTTTATATACAACCTTACAAGCCAGGAAGTATTTCCATCCTTCATCTCCCACTGACTGCAAAATATCTTCCGAGGTAAATGTCAGCAGTGGTGAAGGCTGTACTTAGGTACGGATGAGGGGATTCCACCACCCACTTCATTTTGCTCTTTCTAACTTGGAATATGCCAGCAAATGATGTAGGGCGTCTTTTGGTGTTTGTTTGGTTTTTTATTATTTATTTATGCATACAGAACTGGGGTACAGGCCAGAGATGCAGAGGCGGTGAGAGGATTCACCAGGAACAGAGTGGGGAGCAGGACAGGTAGATAAATGAAGTACACAGCTGAGGGGAGCAGCAGGTGAGACAGGAGCGGTCTGCCGCGGCCATGTGGCTCGCCTCCGGGGCTGGGGATCAAACTCACAGGGACTCGGCTGCTGCCAGCTTGCAGTGCTGCGCCTTAACCCGTTGCGCCACCAGGGGGCGCCAAGCAGCTTTTGTTCTTGCCAGCATCTTCTGGTGTGTTTGCCGCATCTTTGGTGAGGCTGCTGCCAATATCCATGTAAAATGCCCATTTTACTTGCTACTTAACATTGTGTTTTGAAGTCACCTAAAAATTCAATGTGCCACCTAATTTCAAATTAGGATTCATTTAGCATCACTTCAAATGCACTGCTTTTTCAGATCAATACTACGTCCCCAAATAACTGATTTGATAGGATAAGAGTTGAGGATAAACAGCAAACCTTTAATAAAGTAATGTGGTCATTTCACCCTTCTCGGGGAGTCCACCAAGATAGCAGTAGAGTGAAGATGTGGGACACAGTCGCAAATAAACTGCCACAAACAAGTTGAACCCCTTAGAGACAAAATCCAACACGTGCCTCAGGAGCAGCTGTGCAAGGGAAAGCGCGAGGACAAACCAAACTGGGTGGGGCAGTGCAGCCATATGGAGGCCGCTGCCGTATGGAGCCCTTTGCTGCTGGCACAAAGCAAACGCCTGTGTCAGAATCCAGGGCCCAGAGGTGCTGGAGAAGGGTAGTCCGCGCAGGTGCGCCCCTGGCTGAGCTTGGGGAGCCCCCACTGCTGCCCTGGGTGGAGAGCAAACCTGTGAGAACCAGGGCAGGTGACCTGTCAGAAAAGGTGAGAATTTGCAGCCTGGAGCTGGGCCTTAGGCCCCCCAATACCAAGACAGCAACTGAGTGCTCTCAAGGGCTAAAGAAGCGCCAGCTGGGGGAACCTCAAAATTTTTCAGGCTGGGGAAGAAAATAGTCCATGAAAAAGGCAAGGCACTGCATGGGAGAAAATGTTCACAATTTACTAACTGACCAGGGCTACTATCCACTGTGTACGTATGTACCCAGGACAGCGGCGGCAGGAGGGGTCCGCAGTG